TCATTATTATTATTATTATTATTATTATTAAATTATATTATTGTTAGTTTCACATTCATCCTTTTTATAAAATAATATTAAGAAAATATCTATTAATTTTCCCTTTTTCAGATATTATTAGATTTATGTGTTATCTCGCAGTACCAGGAACTAAAGGACGGCAGGGGGACAAGAATAACAAACACGGCGGTACATTCTTTAGAACTTTTGATAACAATGATTAACATCATCATGATAATCACAAAAAATATCATTGGTAGGCCATCTTACTCTAAAATCATGGCCATAATGATAACAACAATTTGTGTCCGACTAACCCAAAATATAGGGTCGGCTTTTCTTATATATTTTTAATGTATGATTTTTGGAAAAAAAAAAAAAAAAAAAAAAAAACCTCTTGCCCATACTAAAAAAAAAAAAAAAAAAAAAAAAAAAAAAAAACCTCTTGCCCATACTATAGTCATGATGTGCCTATAGGCTATATGGTCTTGATGTGATGTCATCATGACCATATTTAGACATGCCACATGTGATGGTCTGGACAGGGCTTAATATATTGATTTGTTTTCTCTTTTAGGAAGAATCTCCTGTTATGTACATTGCTGTTTCTGATAGAATGACTCTGCCTTTCTCCAGAGAGGGTTCCGAGGGCGCTGCTATGTACACATCCAGAGTTCCGTCACCAGAATTCCACTTGGACAACATTTTGAACCCAAACAATTGCATGGGTTCAAAATCGGTGGAACCGTCACGGCGATGGACTTCCATTGATTACGAATATCCTATCAGACCACATTCGTCAGCCGCCGGATCGTACGTCCAGAACTTAGGCCAACAAGATATCGCCTCGACGCACACCGAATCGACGTTCTTTTTCCCGATCAATAATAACGACGAGCCGGAGTCAGAAAATGCCCTAGCAACCGTGCCGTCTGCCCCATCTGAATACGGTTCATTTGCGCCTGTTGGTCGGGCTCTTTCGTATCCGTCGACGCCGGCAAACAACACACCATACCTGTCAGCGACTATGAATCGCAAGCCTATGGTTGAAATGCGCGCTTCGTCCCGTTCGTTGTCACACCTTGAGGTCGCCGGGAAACAACAGCCAGCAGAATATTTCGGAGCGAGGCGCTTGGTCCCGCCTCCGCATTATCATACACTTTCGTCCTACGAAAAGATGGAGAGTATTGTGTGATCTGGCGACA